ATCATCTCTCTCCACAAGTACATACCCAAATCATCCTTTTGAAGCTGATACTTCTGATGAAAGCAATCAGTGCAGCAAGAACAACGCACTCCCCCCTCCAGAACAAGAGTAATGCCTAACTTCTCTCCTTCCAAAATATCTCCCTAATTTCCCTTCATCCCAGCCCTAAACCCTTCTAATAAATCAAGAACAGAAGAGCTCTTCCTGGACAACTTCACAGTAGGAAAGTCAACAGTAGGAAATATGGGGCAGGGCTTGGGGGGATGAATAGAGGGGTAGGAAATGTTTTCAGTTTTCATTAACTGCCAGCAGAGGTCTAGGAGTAAAAATCGTTTGTGATCCATCTTTTCAAGAAGGCTAATGCAAAGAGAACCTGTTCAACAAAATGTCAGAAAGACAAATTAATAACCCTATTGATTTTCCATCACTTGGGCCATCAATGTGAATGGACCAGACAAGTAGGAAGCTGCAATGCATAGAGCTACCCAAGCCCCTGTACAGCTATGACAGGCAGCTGTTCAGGGAGTATTTTGCTGTAAGCATAACAAAGTTTCCCTAGTCAGCAGTGGCTTACACCAGCCAAAACAGACTCAGCTTTCAAAGTCATAAACTTTGTCTGGAGGGTAGGAGCTGGAGTTGTTTGATTCTCTTTCTTATCAGGACGAAGGGAACCAAGCACCAGAAAGTGAAAGGGACCCTTGCGGACTCTTCCCACCTGACTTCTCCCCCACATTCCTCTGGTCAAGAAGGAACCACCAAGGACTTTAATGCTTTTGTTGTTGTTGTTTGCTTTTACTGGCTGGCAAATGATCTATGTTCAATCAGATGAGCCCAGTGTTGCTGTGGGTAGGAGGGGAGACTAATGATCTCATCAATTCATCAAATTCGTCAATTATTTAGACTAATTTAGACTAATCATCTCATCAATTCATCAAATTCATCAATTCATTCAAATCATCAATTGAACAAATTTGTTTAACAAGATTGGTATTAACCAATCAAGTCAGGAGACAAGGAACTATTTCTTCTGAATCTGACTTACTCAGACCTTATCCTCAATTCCATCCGTCTCTCCTACTTGTGCTCTGGAAAAAATACAGAAAGCAGGTATTATGGTGGAGAGAGATTTTCTAATGATACAATTAGTTCTTAATCAACAGATCTCAGAGAATTTAAGGGTGCTCTGACTTAGATGTTCCATATGCTCCAGGTGTGTGAGCAATACTTTGCTTCTTATAACATTTGACATATAATCCAAATTTCCAGTATTACCAAAAGGAAAACTTCCAACTTCCCATCAGCATACAAGCAATTTTTACAGGAAAATCACAAAGTCTTTTATTAATAAATACGGATCAGTTTATGAACAGGGGATGGTAAATTGAGGCATAGAAAGGCAGGTGTATTCTTAATAACAAAATAGTGGAGATGGTAACAGACTATAAAACTGCATTTCAGCCCTATTATCCAGTTCCTGGATTACAATTATTTCTGTTTTACTCTACTGTAACCCAACCCTGTTCCAGGCTAATTTGCTTTCCATTTAGTTCTCTGCTATTCTCAGAAGGCAGCAGACAGGTCTGCAAAAATAGGTAACAAAACAGAATGCTCTCGTGCTTTGCAGATATTTAAATCAATTCATCGCTATGCAAATCCTACAGAACGGATCTGCCTTCCTGTATCAAATACCTCTGCTGGTACTCTCCAGGACTCCCTGGTATACCTGAGACGACTGTTCTCACCTATATCAGGAGTTAGCACGCCTCAAGAAGCACATCCCCAGCCCAAATCGCTGACCTGGGAGGTCTCCTGTTCCTCTACACTGTGTGATAAGGACCATGCTATCAACAAAAAAATTAGGCACATGAAAACAGGGGCAGTGATGTTAACACAGCTCAAGTTGGCAGTATGGGAGAGAAAAGCCATGCTGTGTATGCCTACACAGGGAGCAGACAGATTTGTTTGCCCCAAATCTTAAGGTGTGGGGGGGTGGGATTGTTAATGGCTTCCTTCGGAGTCCACTGAAAAGAAAGATTTACAATATTCAAGATTAGCAAAGACAGCAAGAGCTGCAGCACAGCCCTAAGGAACAGCAAAGCACAGAAATGCTACTGCCCTGCTTCCTTTAGCATGTGGAACAGAAACGCTATCCACAGCCTGCGAGCCCTGACCGCGGGAGATGCTGGCAGGTCAGCAGCCCCGGGAGGATGAGAAGGGAAGAATTGCAGCTGATATCAGTGGGAGGGTCCCCATCCTGTGTGCCCTGCCACATGGGATTTCAGCACAGCTGTTTCTGGTGCGTAACTCTCTAAGCTTCCACTGGGAGTGCATAAAGAGGCTGTAAGCCTGCTGGGAGCATGCTTGGTTTTCTTCACAGCCTTGGCTGACCCTGCACAACAGTGAGACTCCTTCCCACCTGCCAAGCTCCCCCAGCATCTTGACTTTGATCAAAAAGTCAAGGTAGTGAAACTGATGCCGTCATGCACACCAACAGCAAACAAATTTGATTAGTCTGACAGAAGTGTATGATTTCTGCAAGTTCTGCCAAGATTTTATGTATGGTCTCCTATTCCTGCCCCTACCACGACATACATTGTAAAGAAATATGTAGAAATTTGAGATCTCTGCAGTAAGCAATTGCATACTGAAACTAAGTTATATTTTCTCAAAAAAAAATAATCAAGCTGCACTATATAAAATACCTTATTCCTGACAAAAGCTTTGAAGACAGAAATAATATTCAAAATACGTATCTTATTTTTATGCTCTATTAACCACTATATGCAAATTAGACATTTATCATTTCTGAAAGTTAAAAACAATTTAATTTCTAATAGTCTGTAGTTAAAAATTACTACCATATTTGATATCAGCATCTGAAAAAATTAACTGCCAGAGGATCAGTGATAGACTTTTAACTTATGTGGCTCTGAAGCATTTGGGAATGTTAGAAGAGACTTCAGAAGGGGGAGTTAGGTTTCTGGTCTGTAGGTGCAGTTTTGTTTGTTTGGGTTTTAACATTTTCTGTTGTTTTAGGCCACTGCATCTCTATTCAGGTGATATAATTCTTTCGCAAGCGCCATCAAAAACGATACAAAGAACAAGTCCCTAAACTAAAGGATAAATGTGTAAACGTACAAATACACCACTTATCTCTCAGCACTCAGAATTCATCCCACAGACTCATTAGATAAAAGTCACATTTTCACTGAGATTCTAATTTAAATAGGTTTAAAAACAAAGCTTCGATATTTAAGCTATTCAAAAATAATGGATTACGTTATTTAAACGCTAGCAAAGGTACAGAGAGGAATGTCAAGGTATCATACTGTAATTACTTAAAGAAATTTACTGGGGCAAGGGACTTATCTCTAGCAGGTCACTTTCCCTCTAATAGCATTCCAGTGAAGCAGCAGCTGTCACGCTGACACAACAGCCCATTAAGTTCTCAGCCAAAGCCAGGGCTCTCCCTGCAAAGTGCTCTGCCCCATTTCATACTGAACTTCACCTTGGCAGTTAAGTGCAGCTTAAGGAAAATATGTCCTCTATACTTAGCACTGCTTCTTCCAGACCTCACCCAGATATTTGCAGAAGTAACAGCCTATGACCTTAGCAATCAAATGCAGTAAGTTGGCTAGCTGAAATTCTTACTAAAAATATTCAATAACCATTGAAGAGTTCCTGCTCAGGAATAAAAGAAATGTGTTTCAGATACTAACTATTACCACACACTAACTGTTCTCTAATGCTTACACAATTTCCCTATCAGCATGTTTTCCAGGGAACAGTGGAGGTGCCACAGTATTACACAGAGGTGCAAATCTCTGTGCCTCACACTCAGGAATGCAACTGATGTAGCGAAGACTGGGAATCATGAATCCCATGAGTTTTACACAGCTGTGACCAACTCCATGTGTGTGCCCTTTCACATCTTTGGGCATCAGCTTTTACCAACAATATGTGCATTATGAAGCCAAATTAGTTGGCGTTTGAAACGGGCAAAGACTCTGAGCATTAGCAAAAGGTCCCTGAAGTCCATCTCTCCACATGCTGCTTTGGTCATTTGAAATTTCAAGCGCTGTGAGAACTGAGTGCCCATGCTCCTCATCTACTCTTCAGAGAACTGGTGCCAGAGGGCCAGACCCACAAGCCAAACTTTTCATCTCCTGGGTGAATTTGAATAACACACAGGTGGAAGGAAGTGGAGAAGCTTTGTAACTAGAGCAAAGAGAACATTTCCTCCATTAAGTACAATATTTTCTGCATTACTAGGAGTAGAACATTAAGCAGAGCAAACAGAACATGATTTCCCAAGACAGCAAACTTGTCAAAACTGCAGAATTTGTCTGAGCTGGTTTTGCACCTGACATAAGCATATTTCATAATTTTCTCAAAATACCTTATTTAACTTTGCTTCTCTTTGAAAGAAAAGAATATATCTTTGATCAAAGCTATCCACCAGGAACACCACCTTTTAAAATGATAAGCGCATCATTATTCAGACTACTGATAGGAATTCTTTGGGAAAGCAGTTCTCTGTACCTTGAGGAAAAAAAGTTAATAGAACAGGATTGTATTAGAGGACAAAAATGCTGACACTAGCCTTGACTTATAGAAATCAGCATTCCGGGAAGCAGGACAACTGGACAGGACTGGGCCAAATTAATTCAGTATCTTCTATCATGCAGACAGGTATATGTAAAGGGCCCTACAAGTACATGCTTTTCCTTGTAGACAACGCTAGCATGTCTGGAACAACATCAGGACAATGTTTTGTGGGAAACCAGTTATTATTAAGCTTACCAATGTCAAACCTATCCAGAGGTGAAAGTCTATTGTTGACTGACAAATTTCTGGTGGGCTCCCTAGGGCAGTGCAGCAGTGTGCCCGAAAGCTCTTTTCATCAAACATCACCAACTGCACAGAGAACAGGCTGGATGTGCTGCACCAAGATCACCCTCCAGCTTGAAGGGCAGAAGGGCTGTGAAAGAGCCACTTACCTGGAACCTTTGCACCAACTCCAGAGATTGGCTGTCGTTCTGGTCTGCTTCAAGGATGACATCTGTCAGTTTATGTATGATCACGTCCAAAGGGCCCTGGTCTTCAAGGGGTTTGGTGAGGTCAAGCTGAAGAAACCAGAGAGAAACCTTTTGTTAAAATGTGGAGGATCTGAGGCTCTCGTCCCTGTCCAAGGCATTCCCATCACACAAGTGGCATTTACACACTGCCTTTATTTTGATACATCACCTAAATCCCTGAGAAGTGACATTTCATTGGCTGCCAAAAAACTTTACTCAGATATTTACTTCTCAGCAGTATACATCTAACTTCATGTAAAAGCAGTGAAATCGTTGCCAAGCATCCTTCATCCAAAGGCCTATCTGTGCTGCTTCTCCACCCTGAGCAAGTATTTCCCACTTCAGCTCTCTTCCCCGTAGTTACACGTACGCACGAAAGGAATGAGCCAACAATAATTAGTGCCACTAATAAGAGGAACGCCTGCCGTGCCCTTCACCCTTCGGGACTGCACAGAGCAGCACCCAGGGCAGGAGCACAGGTAACAAATATGCAGCTCAGGATCGCTGCAGGCTCATCTGCTGCAGGGAGAGCACCGAGCTGCAGGGAGGAGCTCTGCGCCCAGAGCACAGCAAATATGCTGTGGCAGGGAGCTGGGTAGGGGAACTACAGGTTTGGGATGGGCTCGGCAGAAATTCAGCTCCAGACAGCAGGGAAGGGCCCAACAAGGGAGGCGATGTGTCACAGGGCTTGGTCCCAGTACCACGGCAGGGTTCAAGGAGCAGAGCGGCTACCTGTACTGGAAGAGGGTGGAGGTGGGAATCTCCTGAGGAATCTTAGGCAGGGCTCCTGGACCTGATGGGATGCAGACACAAGCCCTTAAAGAACTCTTTAATGTCACTGTGGAAGCTCAGACTCATCCCACCAGGCCATATATCCAAAAAGTAAAGATTCCTGCTACACAAGCAAAAAACCCTGAACCACGAGGACCACCCGGCTGCAGCACAGAGACCTGCAGAGGCCGGAGGATCTCCACCCTTTGATGTTTTCAGACCTGACTGGACAAGGCCCTAAATAACTTCATCTGAATTTAAAGCTGAATCTGCTTTGATCGAGGTGATGTACTAAAGACCTCCTCAGGTCCCTACCAAACACCCCAATCCCACAAAGCTTATCGGACCGCAACGTTTTCAGCGTAAATAACAGGCAGGCTCACATTCTCAACAAGCCGGCTGCCTGCAGCACGAAAGCCACCACAACATCAGCTGCTGCTCCTGTAGAAGCTGTGAGATGCGCTGCAGCAGCGGCAACTTACACTTGCAAATAGCCGAGTGAAACATCTTCGAAATGTAGGACAGAGGCATGCTGCGGAAGCTGCAGATGGCATCTGCTCCTACAGGCACGGGCACGCGCCTTCCCACGGCTGCCCCATCTTCACCATCTCGTTAGCTTGGGTTTTGTCCTATATAATTTCCTACCCCATAGAAATGGCTCTGCTTTGAGTGAAGGAGTGCCTTAACACGCTCCTGCTAATGGCCACAGGTTGAGGCTCTAGTGCTATCTTTGAAGTACTCATGCAGATCCTAATGAGACTGGAAAACATATTGCACATCTTCTGAGGAGACTCAGAGGTACCGTTTACAGGCGGGCAGCAGACCCTCTGCATGGGAAGATGATGTAGAAGACAGACAAGACGGACCTGATGGGGTATGGCAAGGCAGTCCCCAGGAGGCCTGGCTGTGCTAGCACATTTTGGCTCCCACGAGCAGCGCAAATCTAAGTGTCTGCAGAACCAAGGCAAAATGATGTGAATCACAGCTTAGCTAAGGACATGGAAGGAGACCATCTACTTTTGTAATCAAATTCCAAAATATTAGTTAATATCCTTAGAAGAAATCTCAGATGATCACACAGCTTCTCCTGGCTTTTTTTTTTAATCTGTCTATCATATCTGGAGGGAAACTCCAAAACAAAGGGTCCATTCAACAGAGTCGGAAAGGTCCCAGTTGCCAAAGTATAAAAACGTGAATTAATCCTTTTCAGGGCTTCCACTTTGAAAAACAGTGAGAAGCAAGAAGTATCTGAGATTGGTGACCCCACCACGTTCTTGCTGCCGTTGCAGCTCAATCTGCACAGAAGCACTCAGAAACAAGAACACAGTCCTCCCTTTCAGCCCTGACCCAAGAATAGAAGAAGCCTTCAAGGCACTTGCAGGCATTTTCAGCAGAGCGTTTTCCAGAAACGTAAGATATCTGGGCAGGGTAACTTCCTCACAACACTCGTGTCAGCTAAAACCAACAGGCGTATGCCGAGCACGTAAACAGAGTGCACCTACCAGGATTTGCACAGGCAAATCAGCAAGTGTCAAAAAGGGCCCCTGTAACAGTGCTCGGCCTCCTCCCTCGCAAATAAAGCGATCCTGGACGCGGCAGCACGCTCAGGCAGCTGCTCCACGGGCAGCTCAGCTTCAAGTGGCTCAGCAAGGGCAGCAGGTACATTTCGGCCACACAAACCTTCACAATTTGATCCGAGATTTTGTGGATTGGAGGATCAAACCGCTCGCAAGAATAAGCTCTCTGTGTTCTGGGCCACGCTGTGGAAAGCAAATATTTCTGAGCCGTGTGGAATTTGGAAGTGTTCCACCTTCCTTTTATATACCAAGGCAAAAAAGTTGGGAGGAAAAAAAAAAAAAAGGGTTGAGGGGGAAAAAAGGAGCCTTTTCAAGTAGAGTATCAGACCCAATCATAAGTCACTGAAAGTACAGTGCAAAATTTCTGATGGCCCTCTGCTGAGACAAACACTGATTCATTGTTTGTCATCAGCTGGAATTTGAGCCCTCCTACTTCCCTTCTCTTTCAGCATCTCTCTCTCCAAACGATCTTTGCATTCGACTCGATCACCCCAAGGTTTGTTTTTGAGCAGAACGAACGCCATAGCAACAGAAGGGAGAGAAAAGATTTATCAGCACCAGCTTGAAAAAACAGAAACCATAGCCATGGCGTGCTTTCTTCTGCAAAGTAGGCTACGGTCTGTATTTCCTATTCTGCTTTCAGAAAAAGAAAAAAAAAAAAGGCCAGCTGGGTATTGGTTTCATGTCATTGCTGCTTACTGCCAGAACCCAGCAGAGATCAGGTGAATGACGTGGAAGACAGCGTCAAAGCTGCACAAAATCTGTAGAAAACACCAGATATGAGGCATTTGCCTTCCCAAGTTTTACAAATCCCTATACAGAAGAAAGCAACCACTAGATAAATGTCCTCATCACTACACTGCTCACCTTCCAGCAGGAAGGCTGGCTGGGAGTTAAAAAGCACTTCGCGCTCAGAAACCTCTCAGCCCCTCCAGAGCAAGTTGTGTGTGTGCACGGCTCCATCCCTCCCTTCCTTCTGCTGTCCTCCAAGCACACAGCCAACACATTATCCAAAATCGTTATACAGGAGGGCAGAAGAAGTTTGTTTCCACTAAGCGTAATTTGTTTAAAGTCTTGGGGTTGTTTTTCTCGGGAACACTGGCCATCCATGGACATCGTGGGGACGGGAGGGGACGGGCGCCTGGCGCCGTGCCACCGCTCCCCCGTGGTCCCAGCCGCAGCCCCGCACGCAGGCAGCTCTGGGAGCAGAGTTCAGAAATAAAGCCAGGTCCAAGGGAAGAGGTCTGGAACCATTCACTGAGGGAAAAACAAACAAACAAACAAAAAGCCCTGCAAATGCTGGATTTAGAAGAAAATCATTTATCTAAATGACTAAAAATTTTTTTTTTAATTTTATCAACGTTCCCATCCACGCTATAATCAACTGCATTTCAGAACCCGGCTCAGCAGGATTGCTTTTTTTCTTCAAAGCTCTTTTGCAGAAATAATTTTTGCATTATCATTCACATGAAATGAAGCCTGAATACCAACCTGTTCTGTTCTCTGAACTGAAGATGAGATCTGCCCCCTGCTACATCCCTCAGGAACGTACAACACGTTTCTCCCTTTCCATTTATCCTCATTTTTCTCTTAATTTATTTCCATTAAAAAAAGAAATAAACCTCTTTTTCTTCAACAATTCTGCTCCCATTCTGCAAACAGCTAATGAGCTCCTGTCCCCAGACCGCTGCACCAAAGTTCTGGCTTTGTTTCGGTTTGTATTTGATCTGCTGCTTACAGTAGAAGTGTGGGCACCTCTGCAAGCAGCCCGCCTTGCTGCAGAGGAAATCGTGAAACTTTCACCCAAAAGGGCCGAGTGAAGGTAAGGAGAAACCATCAGAGCCGATACCTTTATTCTGAGCATTCAGACCAACATTGTCTCGAGTGCTAGAAAGTTTAATTAAATGCCACACAAGGGGAAGTTCTGTCCAATTTTCCCTCCCTCCTGGTCGAAAGCCATCAATGCTCTGCACTTCCACAATTCAGAGCCCCAAAGTCCCTGCTTGGCAGCTCCAACATTTCCTGGCTCTGAATCCTGCTCCCCAGGAACCGGAGGCGTAGCAGCAGCCTGACCCGACCTCCCTGCCCCCTGACGCCCGGGGCTGAATACAGCATTTTCTACACACATCTACTGCATCCTGCAATTTGGGTATCCACTTAAGGCTGCACTGACCCCAAAATGCATGGGGTTTATTTCCATCATAATTTGCCTTCTTAACTCCACTGAATGTCAACCTTCGGGTTATAGTCGCCACCTTTCTCTGCTGAGGTTATTTTCTACCCTGTATCTCATCACAAATTTGCACCAAACCGCTTGTAAAACAGAGCCCCTTCTTTCCCCAGCCACAGCCCTGGTGTTTAGCTCTGCTGCGCATCAGTGCTGCGCGAGTCATGCTGAAAAACAGCCACAGCTCTGGGGTGGAAAGCCGGGTCTTTGAGAAGCTGCAGACTGACAGCTGATGTATTGGTGTCTGCTGCTTTCTCCCCAGAAAGCTCAGAGATGAAAGGCTCCAAAAATATCTTAAGTATTCTGGAGAGAGAAGGGAAGAAGCAAAAAATCAATAGTGCCAAGTTCACCGCTTTGCATTGTAGAAAGTAAAGGAAACAGAAATACACGGGGAAGCCTGATTACAGAGGGAAAGTGCTCGTGTTTGAAAGGAAGTGGGGCAGAAAGCAGGAAAATGGTTGTGTGTGTCTACT